CATATATTGTTGAGTATATGTTAGCAATGCGTCATTAGTAATATTCTCCGGGATACCTCTCAATTTGATATTGTTGCGTTTGGAGCGGTCCTCCAGGTCCGCTAGTTTCAGATTTATTTGCTCAATATCTGTGGTGTGGTCCCCATGTGCATCAATTAGGTCATTATGCGCCATGACCATTTCTCCCATTCTCGTCTCAATATGGCGTATTTTTTGGTCTTGGTGCTGAATCACAGTGGATATCTGGGATAGTGATGCTGTTATATCACTGTGCAAAGTTTGACGCAGAGATAATAGCATATTTTTTTCAAACAGACTTCTGTAATAGGCTGATCAAACGCTGGAAATGCTTCTATTACTAACGGCTCAGCGTTGATATGAGGAGATAAAGGAATAAGCAATGAGTTTTCTGAGCAGGAATCCCCCTCTAAGCATGGTTTTGATTTTACTGGGCTGCTTATGGTGGGTGACAGGGGAGGAGATGACTGACCCGGGTCTCCGGGATACAGGGGAGCCCTCAGCTGCACATCTGGGTGCTGGGAAATGCTGTCTCCTACCTGGCTGTTGTTTCTGCCTGTGGTGGAGCCGGCGCCATCTTGGATTCCCGCTGACAGGGAAAAAGTTTGTAAGTTTCCCTGGTAGTCCAGGGGATTTGTGGCGGCGTGTCATCGTCCGTGAGGGTTATACACACTTCATGAACGTCCCCTGTCGCTGTAGAGATTCAGGGCCGATGTGTGCCGAAGTAAGTCTGGCTGCGGGACGGAGCGGTAATCAAGCCGCGTCCATCCAGTAGCCAGCCGCGCATGCGCCCCCCGATATATTTTTTTTAAATACAAATAGACTTAACAATCACTTCAAGTCCTTTGTCTAGTGATGTTTGATCCAGTAAGGAACTCTTACCTTTATGGGTAAACCAAAAATCCTAATTTTTGTTATTTGAACATTGCATTATGGACCCCTAGAGCAATATTATAATATACAAAAAATAGCAGCTGCTGTTTATTAAGAAGTACCCCAGCCAGCATAAAAATGACAGTTGTATAACATTAGGCTTTGCATACTCTGTACTTTTTATGTTTGAGCTGCATCACAAGCTGTAAAGAATGATGCATAGTTAGAAAAAGATACACTTCTCAAGAAAGTGTTGCAGAAAAAGTAGCTGGTGCACAAAGAAATTGGAAATGATTTTGAAATATTAAGCATATGTTTAGAATGATGTTTAACATAATAGTTTATTTTCACCAAAACTGTCATTTGGCTGTTTCCCGGTTTATTGTGTGCCTAGAGCTTAGCTTTAAGCTCCTCTATCTTTATGTTGTATTATGTTTCTGCTACCATTCACCTCGGCTATTTAAAAGAGAAGTGTGGGAATCGAAAATAACAATCGAATCATACTTGCTTAGATGGCTGCAGCACTGATCCCAGCTGCCGCTGTCCCCCTCCGGCTCTACACACCGAGAGCTGATCTCTCAGTTCTCGGTTTTTAGTGAATGGAGAGCTGGTGACTGTCAGTCACCATTGTCTGTTGTGTCCCACAGCACTCACTGGAGCTCCAGGTTGTAGGAGGGCAGCTGGTTCAGGTTCTCAGCACCTCTCAGAGGCTGAGCCAGCTGCTGGTCTAGGCACCTGGGTGGATCTCTCCAGATCCTGTACTGGCTGAGTGACGTCAGCTGACAGTGGACTTTAGCCCACTGTCGGCTGAAAACAGGTCACAGGAGTGCAGAACAAAGTGCATCTGTGAACCCCCCAGAGAGGGTGCTTCTCCTTTTTACAATATTCATAAACTTCTCCTGCTTAACCCTTGCACGTTTAAATGCTGTGTATTGTTGCTGCTAACTTTTAATAGTGGAGTAATGTCTAGCTTTTATTACAGATGATCGATCTCCTGAAGCCGATAGATCACCCGCTCCAGAATCAAGGTAAATTGTGTGTTGCAGTACTGTATGTATTGTTTTTTAGTTTTAAGTTTTTATTGCGTCCTTCAGCAAAGCATACAATGCAGATCACCACAATAAGATTCATAGTGAAACGGAAAAAGAACCTGATTCTAGGATAGGCGTATTATGCTTATCCAAGCAATGAACATTAGTCATGGAAATCATGAGTAAACGGGTATTAGGTGTTACAATAAGACCCTGACCCAGAAAGTTCTTTAAACCCCACTCATGCGTACTGTATTTAAGCATTGGCCTAATAGGTTCAAAACAACAACAAAAAAATAAAATCAAATGTACCTAGGATATTAAAGTGCAGAATTTCATGTTATGTAGGGCGGTGGTCCTCAAACTAAGTAGAGGAGAAAAAAGTTCAGCAGTATTCAGCAAAACAAAAAGTCACACAGACTTGTGCTGGCGATTGTCCAGCAACCAGGAACATCTGAACTTCTGTGCATCATTGGTAAACTGATGACATGGTGTATTAGTGCGCCTTTTGGTGTTCTAAACAAATTTATATTCACTACCCTAACTACAAGCCCTCTATGACCACCAAACATAACTGTGGGCTTACTTGCCATTCAAGTGTTTTCATGTTTTTTTGTTTTTCTACCACTAACAAATGAATTGCAGGTACCTTGTACATTTTTTAGAAATTACATCAGTAATATTGTTTGCCTAGGTCCTTTTAAACCTTGCAATGCTCACTTTAAGGGCCTGGTCAGACCACAACGCACACAATTCTGAAATATATCAGCTGTGTGCATTGTGTGTTGAGGTACCATTTACAATGAATGACAGTGCAGCACATCGGTGCACGTAACATCTGTGTCAACACAGAGGCCTAGTTTGAAGGAGCCCCAAAATATGATACTGTACTTCAGTCCTAAGCAGAAATGTATATTACAGTTCTTCTATTGTAAAGTTTAATAGATTATGTGCCCATTGTGCTACTGATAGCTGTTTTGGCTCTCTACATTTTATAGTGCGTTGGAACTTCTCTAAAGAGATCAAATTATGTTACATTATTATTTGAAACTTACTATTTCCACATTCGTAATGGCATTTTTTATTTGCTTTTCTGATAGATGTATATGAGCATTTGTTATGAATTGGCTACAAATACAGTGAGTGAAATTCTCAAAACAGGAGCAACTCTTAATGGCAACCAGTCAGCATATATCTTTTATTTTTCAATCTTAACTGAACAAGGTGATGATAGAAGCTGATTGGTTGCCATGCACAGCTTTGATACATTTCCCTCACTATGATTATCAGTGCTGGATTTCCATTACTGGAGTCTTTTGGCAAACAACCATAAGTGCTCAAAACATCACTCTTCTACTTGTACAACCTCCAATACAATAAACGTTTTTTGTTTTACCGATCCTAATTTGATTTAGAACTTTGCAAGAAAGTGTAAATATGGTTATCTAAGATGACTAATTTTTAATGATGGTTGGCGGAAAAAATATATATCTTCTTATACTGCTTAAATAAGCTGCTTCTTTGCCTTTTGCTTTCTATACACACAGATCCGTTGTGCCTAATGGTAAATCTGGCTTATCTGTTTATATATTACTTTCACATTCTAAAGCTGTGTACAGCAAAACATGCATGCAACTAAAAAATAGAACAAATTGTCTGGTCCCTCTCCTGTGAACTTATAATTTAATCATGGTGCAAAAGGCATAGATTTTACTAGCCATATTAGATCTAAAATATATGTACTATATGTGTGCATTCAGTAGTTGAGAATGGATCTCCCATACAGCCCAAGTGCAGAGTGAAAGCCCAAACCCTTTTTTCTTATTTTTCATAGTGTAGGGAGGGGTTTAAACTTGTCTTTTTTTTGTTATTTTTTTTTTTTTTTCCGTCTGTTTTCCATTGGGAAATGTTCCTTCATTTCTTTCTGTTCTATGGAAACAGTGGGAAATAATGCCCCCTTATACAATTGTTCACAGAACATATCCCTAACAGGGACTCTGACAGCAATAAATACCTGTACACAAATCCATCTAGCACTAGACCCTTCACGTATAAATACTTGACAGGGTTTCTAATCCCTAAGGACTCATCTACACATGAACTCACCTAGTCGTTAAACTCTCCTGGCAACAGAAAAATGCTAAATGTGGCAAAAACATGTGTAAACACAGTACTGTGTTTAGCGCTTGGACGTTTATTCATTTGATTGTCCAGAGTATTTCCCATTGACATGGATAAACGCCCAAGCTCCAAATGCGGCTAGAGTTCCTGATGTGTTCAATGTTTTTTTTTTTTTTGCCAAAACGTTCCTCTCCTGAATGCGATTATTCTGCGTTCAGAAGAGGAACGTCCGACTGCTCTTAAACTCTGGTAAAAGCCTATGTGTACATGGACATAGGCTTTTATTGAGTTGAGTTCAGGGGCTTTGGCAAAAAAACACCAAAAGCTCCTAAACTCACGTTTAGGAACAGCATTGTACATGATACCTAAACACTCTATCAAACGTTTAAAAAAATGGGCTTTGGATAGAGTTCAATTTTTAACAAGTACGTACAGTATAAAGCTTAAGAATCTTTAAAAGTGGGTAAATCGAGCACATAGTGTGATAGAATGGGAAGTGATGTAATGGATAGTAAACAATGAGCAAATGGATAAAAGGGTGAACAGGGGTGTCCTGAAGCAGACAGTTCAAACAGAGCATGGGTTGTTGAGTGCTGCAGAAGAGAAGTTTTAGATGACAGAAGAGGGTAGAAGAAGGCAACAATACCATTTATGCTTGATTTGTATGATTAAAAATACTAGGTCATGAAAAGAAGCTGTTGTTGATGCTGACTGACAATTTGTTATTAAATGGATTCTTTTTTTTTTTTCTCTCTCTCTCTGCTACATAAAGGACAAACATAGATGAATCACTAAAAAGGACCGATTATAATTCAGTCTCACTAGATGCTTCAGCAGCTCGCAAGGTCAGACATGATTCCCCAGACCCTTCCTCGCCTCAGAGAAGCATACATGACTCTCCAGATTTCTTTCCCATCACAAAAAAGGAGGCATGACTCTCCAGACTCCTCCCCACTGCAGAAAGGGAGGCATGACTCGCCTGACTCCTCCTCTCCACGGAAAGGCAGGCATTACTCGCCCGACTCTCCACCACAGAAAGGGAGGCACAACTCTCCACATTCTTTTCCTCCAAAGAAAGGGAGGTGGGCCTCTCCAGACTCCTCCCCACCACAGAAAGGAAGGCATGACTCTCCAGACCTTTCTCCACCACAGAAAGGAAGGCATGGCTCTCCAGACCTCTACCCACCACAGAAAGGAAGGCGTGGCACTCCAGACCTCTACCCACCACAGAAAGGAAGGCATGGCTCTTCAAACCTTTCCCCATCACAGAAAGGAAGGAGTGTCTCTCTAGAACACTCACCACCACGCAAAGGAAGGCGTGGCTCTCCTGACCCCTCTCCGCCACGCAAAGGAAGGCGTGGCTCTCCTGACCTCTCTCCGCCACGCAAAGGAAGGCGTGGCCCTCCTGACCTCTCCCCGCCACGCAAAGGAAGGCGTGGCTCTCCTGACCTCTCCCCGCCACGCAAAGGAAGGCGCGGCTCTCCTGACCTCTCCCCGCCATGCAAAGGAAGGCGCGGCTCTCCTGACCTCTCCCCGCCACGCAAAGGAAGGCGCGGGTCTCCTGACCTCTCCCCGCCACGCAAAGGAAGGCGTGGGTCTCCTGACCTCTCCCCGCCACGCAAAGGAAGGCGTGGCTCTCCTGACCTCTCCCCGCCACGCAAAGGAAGGCGTGGCTCTCCTGACCTCTCCCCGCCACGCAAAGGGAGGCGTGGCTCTCCTGACCTCTCCCCGCCACGCAAAGGGAGGCGTGGCTCTCCTGACCTCTCCCCGCCACGCAAAGGAAGGCGTGGCTCCCCGAACACTTCTCCACTCAGAAAACACCAACAAGATGGCACAAGATGCTCCCCTTCCAGAGTGTCCAGAAATGATTATCAGAAGAATTCCTCATTGAGGCACGATAGATCTCGTTCCCCAGATTCTTCCCCTAAGCATTGGGGAAAAAATGCAGGAAAATCTTATTCTGATCATAAGAAAAAAAATAATTCTCCATCCTCCACCAAAAATAGACAAGACTCCATGCTTCAGAAAAACAGAATGCACTCTTCTGATTCTTCAAAGAAAGAAACAGATAGAGTCCTTCCATATGGTCGTTCATCCCTATATTCCTCCACACGCCATGATTCTGATTCTGACCTTTCCCCTCCCAGAAAAATGGAGAGAGGACCCACACAAGACAAACAGAGAACAGGTGCATATATCCTTTTATGTCAGTGGTTTTGATAGTGTTCCTTGCATGTAGTGTAACACTAATCCTTATGCCCTTAGAAACATCTTATGGAAGAGCTTCTCTAGAAATGCAGGTAAATCAATCCCTTGACAACTGTTTTCATGATGTAGATGAAGAGTATTTATAGTTTTCCGAGTTAGAATATTTTCTTGATCGTACATCATGGGACACAGAGCAGGCTATTCATGACTATGTGGGTTATAGGCCACCTATGGGTGACTGGACACTGGCTGACAAATCAGAGAAGAGGTCCTCCCCTATATAACCCCTCCTATACAGGAAGTACCTATAAGGTGGATGGTCACTAAAAGTGTTGCTGTGCTCTTGGAGCATACCTGAAAGTCCAGAACGGTTCTGTTCGAGAATCAGGGACTTTAATCAGATCCATTCGGAAGGCTATGAGCTAAAATGGATGGTACCCGAGCCATGCTGGTTAAGGAGAAGAATCCTTGAGGTTTTGCCTGTAATGTAGCCTAGTGGTGCTGGACCGCACGCAGATGGAAACCTGTGCGGTTTTAAAATCTGACCAAGGCGCCTAAAGTGGGGTGCTATACGGGTCCGAGGCAGTAGCCCCTCAGCATGGGGACTGAGTTTTTGAAGGTCTGTATGACAATGCCTCTCATGATGGGTGAAGGTTGGTGCTTGCCGGAAGTCAGGGAACTGTGGCGGGACTGGTAATCTTCTTTTTTTCTCTCTAAAGAGAAACAAACAGCTCTAAATTGGAGGTAAAAAGAGAGGTGTTGTGCCTGTGAGTTTCTACCAGGGGGAGTGCTCACTGTTCCTGATATGTGCTTGCTCTTTTTGTTTTCGGCCACTAGAGGGTGTACTGCCAGAAATGGACGTGGCCATACTTTGTTTATCTTGAGGCCGGGACACACGTGGGCTGCTGCTGCTGAGACATCTCTTGTGGCTGGGACACAGAGCAGGCTATTCTGCAGGGGCACGTAAGAACTCCCCTGACGGGGAAGTGTGGATCAGTCAGGTGCCGCCCTAGGTGGCTCATAAGGCAGCATTTGCATTGAGTGTTTTTACTTCAGCACACTACTTGCATAGCTGTATCATTGTGATCTGTGTTACTAGTAGAGGTGCACAGGTTTTAGGCTATCTGAAGTAATGTCTTCCAGAGAGCAGAGTGGGGTAGGTGCAGCAGGAAAAGGCACTAATGTACCACCGTCAGGTCCTGAGGAACCTAGCCGAAGGTCCGCTGTAATATCCTCTCCTGACAGGCCAGAAGCGACTGGGCAGTCTGAGCCGCTGCATCTGTCTGGCATTGTGGCTACTACTGGGGCTTCTGCCTCAGCATATGTAACCAAGAATGATCTTGCTTCAGCCTTAGCGGGTTTGGAAGATCAGATCGCTGGAATGATTGCCTCAGTTTCTCAGGGGACTAAGAAGCGGGATAGATTCCCGTCACTAGAACCACCAATCCTGGGGCAGGGGTGGAACCTGAGGATGAGGAAGAGCTGGAGGAAGGTCAGGTAGTAGAATTTCTGTCTGAGGAGTCAGCCTGAGGAGAAGCAGGAGGTCTCTGCCTCCCAGTCTCAGAGATTTTTAGTCCAAGACCTCACTGACCTCATTTATGGTCTGGATTCAAGCTACCTCCTTTGGAAACCTCTGAGTTACTTATTCTTCCCGTGACTCTTTGAAGCCTTCACTCAGGCTTTTTCTGGTGCATCCTCTTCTGGAGCAAATTATGTATGCTGACTGGGACCACCCAGATAGGGTTTTTGTTCCACCAAAGAAATTTTCGGTTTTGCTTGTAGTGGATTCAGCTGTTTCATCCCTGAATAAATCTTTAATATGTCCTGTGGATAATGTACAGGTTTTCAAGGACCAAGCAGATAAGACGCTAGAGACTCTCTTTAACCACGTCCCGTCTGCCCTATAGCAGATATATTTCTACAAAATGCGCAAAATCGTGTGTATATGTACGTGATTTCGCATTTCCGGGTAGGGGGGGTGCGCATGCACCCTACCCGTGCCGCCATTCGCGGCCATGGCTGTCAATCACCTAATCCCGGCCGGTAATTACTCGCTGGCGCCCGGTGATTGCCGAGGATCATCCCTGTCAGCTTGTGCACACTGCCTTGCATGGCTGTGCAGAGCACAGCCGTGCAAAGCAGTGTGCTTACAGTGAAGCACACAACACAGCCCCATAGTAAAACACACCCAGCAGCTAACCTTTTTATCGCCCCAAATCTTAACCCCTTCCTTCCCAGTGCCATTAATACAGTGTCAGTGCTTTTTCTTAGCACTGATCACTGTATTGGTGTCACTGGGGATGTTAGCCACACCAAGTCAGTTCCCCCCAGTGTCAGAATGCCCGCTGCAGTCCCGCTATAAGTCGCTGATCACGGCCATTACTAGTAAAAATAAAAAAAAAATCCCAGTATATATACCACCATTTGTAGACGCTATAACTTGTTGGTCTTTTTTTTTTTTTTGTTATAGCGCAAAAAATAAAAACCGCACAGGAGATCAAATACCCCCTAAAGAAAGCTCAGTTTTTTGGAAAAAAAGGACGTAAATTTAATTTGGGTGCAGCGTTGCATGTGCAGTTGTCAATGTAATGCAGTGCCGTAATGCAAAGAATGGCCTGGTCAGGAAGGGGGGTAAATTTTCTGGAGAGCAATTGGTTAAGGCCTTCTTCTCCCTGTCGGATTCTGCCACACAGCCAGCTGTGGCAGCTATTGGCATTTGCCAGAGTCTTTCTGACCGTGTCAAGCAACGGATTGGAAGACCATTAGGGCACAGGGAATGCTCAGCCGTGGATTTGGGAGATGTTCCGTGTGCTTTGTGTTTTGCGGTTGATGTTCTTGAGGATTCAATTCAGCAAATTTCTCGCTTGGCCCTCTTATCTGTGCACATGCGCAGGGTTTTGTGGCTGAAGAGTTGGTCAGTCCATGCAAAAAATTTCTTGGCAAGTTTTCCCTTTCATGGGAAACGGCTGTTTGGGGAAGATTTGGACAAATACATCCAAAGGATTTCAGGGGGTAAAAGTACTCTTTTACCCTCTAAGAGGAAATCCAAACGGCCTTCTTTAACGTGTCAGGGGCTTCGGTTGCTGGGCCCTCATTTACAAGGCAGTAGTTTCACCACATACAGGTCCAAGCCTCCAGGGGTAGATCAAAACCCAAGGAGGGTTCATGTGGGGGGAAGACTTTCAATTTTGTGGCTGCATGGAGGGCTCTAATCCAAGACAAATGGGTCATTTCCACGATTTCTCTGGGGTACATACTAGAATTTTCTGGTGTTTCCCTCTCGGTTTCTAAGATCAAATGTACAAAGGAATCCAGAGAAAAGAAGAGCTTTATTTCAGGCACTCGATTGCCTATGGGCTCAAGGAGTATTCATGGAGGTTCCTGCAGGCGAAAGGTTTCAGGGATTTTATTCAAACCTGTTTACAGTCCCAAAACCAAATGGGGATATAAGGCCCATTTTGGATCTCAAAGGGCTAAATCAGTTCCTAAATGTTCGATCCTTTCTTATGGATTCGGTTTGGTCAGTCCCTACAGAGGGAGTTTTTTTTGGCGTCCATAGACGCATACCTGCGTGTACCGATATTCATTCCTCACCAAAAAAAAGATTTTTGCATTTTGCAGTAGGAGCTCAGCATTTCTAGTTCATAGCAGTGCTGTTTGGGCTGGCCACGTCAAGAGTTTTCCCAAAAATTCTTGCTCTGGTGTTGGGGCTACTCAGAACTCAGGGAGTATCGGTCACAGGTTATCTAGATGATCTCTTGCTCAGAAATCAGTCGGTGCCAGATCTGAAGCAGGATGTGGTCCTTACGATGCACATCCTGGAACAGCTGGGCTGGGTGCTCAATCTCAAGAAGTCGGCCCTGTAACAAGTGCAAAGCCTGGAGTATTTGGGGATGGTCCTAGACACGGTTCCGGCAAAGGTATTTCTGCCTCCAGGGAAACGTTGTGCCCCATGGAATGAGGTTTGCAGTTTGAAGGCCAAGAGCTATCCTTCAATTCGCCTCTGTATGAGGTTGCTGGGGAAGATAGTGTCCTCGTTCAAGGCTATTTCCTATGCTCAATTCCACTCCAGACCGCTGCAAAGGTACATTCTATCTGGTTGGAACAAAAAAATTCTGGCCCTGGATTACTGCATATCTCTGTCTCCAGAGGTGCAGCAGAGCCTGAATTGGTGGTTGATAACTCACAATTTGGAGAAGGGTAAATGGCTTTCACAGGAAATTGATGGGAAGATTCATGTCCTGGAACTTTGAGCAGTGAGGCTTGCTCTGAGATATTGGACATCCAGACTTCAGGGTTGGCCTGTAAGGATTCAATCTGTCAATGCCACAGCAGTCACATACATCAGCCACCGGGGCGATACCAGGTGTTGAAGTGCCCAGTAGGAGGTGAACTACATTCTGACCTGGGCAGAGAGATGTTCCAAGTCTGTCAGCAGTGTTCATTTCCAGGTGTGGAAAATTGGCAGGCGGATTATCTCAGTTGCCGGCAGTTAATTCCAGGGGAATAAGTCTGCCAACGATGGGGTTGCCCTGATGTAGACCTGTTGGTATCCAGGTTCAACAACAAGGCCGGTCTTTTTGTGTCCAGGGTAAGGGACTCTTGTACAGCAGGGGTTGACGCCTTAGTGATTCGTTGGAAGCAGTTCTCACCGATTTATGCCTTTCTTCCGATCCAGCTACTGCCACGTCTCTTACACAGGATTCGGGAGGAGTCTATTCCGGTGATACTGATTGCTCCGGCTTGGCCCAGGAGGGCCTGGTATGCGGACATAGTGAAGATGGCAATAAACGGGTAGTGGGCCGTGCCGTATTGGCCAGACCTGTTGTCTCAAGGTCCTGCATGGCACCAAGCTTTACGGTCGCTAAATTTGATCATGTGGCTATTGAAACCCAGATCCTGAAGGATAAGGAAGTGTTGGATTCTGTCAAACCCATCATATTGGGTGCTAGAAAGTTTCTAGGAACATCTATTACAGAACCTGTAAGGCTTAC